GTGAATCCTGAATGTTACTTTGAGTTCGTATGATGGCAATAATGGCAATTCTACTAGTAAAATAATAATTTGTTACATTGTTTGAGATTTATAATTTTAAACGGTGTTCGTGCGCTTCATGCAAAACTAAGAATTGAAACGATACCCAAATACGACTCCGCAAATTTGTCGTTTCTGTTTGTTGGCAAGGCCGTTCTCTCAGAATTCAAGGGAACGGTTTAGTGACGCGCGAGTCCGTGCCCAAGCAAGTGGCATATGTACTGGATATATGAGTAGTAAAATGACATGCATGCTAATAATGCATGTCCAAAATAAATAGCAATAATCATTTCGCGGAACACTAATATGCCGCGGCACGGTGGTTGGGGACCACAGATTTAGAGGAAGCAAAAGTCGTAACAAAGTTTCCGTAGGTCAGGGATGGCGAACATTTTTCAATGAATGGGTCACAAATGATACTTTTATCGTGGAACAGAAGAGAGTGGGTCACAGATATTTAATCAATGTTTGTAACTATAAGAAACTTCTGAAATCTTATAAGCTTCAGTCGGTGTTGGTGTAGTTTTGTGCTTTACTTATGCAGCACTTCTATCAGAGATTTTTATGGCACTCGATTTTATGAAATTAGAGTACGAAAACACGCATACAGATTACCAAATACGTTTAGGCTGATACGGCAAATTATTTTACGGTTCCAAAGAGTTCCATCAGCTTTCAACCCCATTGAGGCACTTTTACACTGCCCCATTGTTATTTCAGTCCGCTAGGTTTTTATTTCAAGTCTAAAAGCTTTTGTTTTTTAATGTTTCAGACGCCCAATCGAGCCCAATTTTGAATACATTTTTATTAATGTCATACGACCCCCAAAATTTACCCAATATACAATAATTATATACCATTGGAAAGGTATTTTAGAGTACTATACGCTAGATGTCACTGGAGGACCGTAAACTAAAACACCTCTTTCAAGAGGTCTCTCGTAACGTCAAAAAATAACAAAAATATTTACACTCTCTCATTCTATCAGCTGTTGGACGTCTACAGCTATTGTAAAGCTGAAATGTGACTATACAGTTGACTGCACATTGGTTTTCTCTTTCATATGGTACTAAACGCTTTTTCATAGCGCGCGTTGTTCAAACGTTTTGGAAATTTTCCGTTTGAGAAGTCACCACATCGAATCAGGCCAGGCTAAGCTTGATAGATCGATCGGTTGTTTGTTTGTGCTTTATCGCGTTGAAAGCTTTTGTGAGTCATAATAAAACATTTATTATGAATCATAAAAGCTTATAATCGTCAGACAAGGAGAATTTGCGAGATAAAACGCCTAACTTTTTTTCGGTGAGGCAGCTGCGATCAAACGACTCGATATTTTTATAACTTCCTGACGTTGTGAGATGTCCACTCTCCTATGTTATGTAGCATATAAAATGACCTTCAAAATAAGACCTTATCATACTAGCTTTTGTTATTGGTTAGCGCGCAACGCCAAGGTTTATGGAATCATTTTCTTGTTGTGCGACGTTTTTATATCGCAGCGGGAAGTACACGCGTGATATGTAAGCGAAATTTTATCACTTCTAAATGTCATATAAGGTTCATTCTCATATCGTTGTGTGGGGAATAAGATTTCCTTTCAAGCAAGACCATAACAAACATTCCAGACCTCATGGTATACACACAGCATTGCAAAACGTCTGAAATTTCGCGCATGCGTCAAACCGGGAGGATTAGGTTAAATGGCATTGTAGCCGAGAAACCAACAAAATGCAAAGTAGCATCTAGTTCTCGTATAACCCATGAAACAGTCTGCAGATGCACTTCCGAAAGAGACAAGACTTTACGAGAAATGAACAGATCAATTGCATTGTTATGTCTTAAACGATGTCAGAGCCAATAGCTGACTAACGGTACACAGCGGTGCAGACATACGTCCAACATTAAGGGATTTAAAAATTACCATAACGGTTTAGAAATTAGCAATTTGAATATGAGCGATCGCCGCCCTGACTGCCCAAGTTTAGTTATTGTTAGATTAATTTAAGGCCAGTTTTATTAATTTTCATAACCGATATGTTAGCATTTTTATCTTATTTTATTCGAGCCGCGGTGGGTCACTTTGTGACCCGCGGGTCAGTGGTTCGCCATCCCTGCCGTGGGGGAACCTGTGGAAGAATCATTACCGAAGGTAGGCGCGAGCCAAGCCATAAATCGGTGAATCGGTGAATCGAGTCGGTGAAAGACGCAGCCAAGTGCGAGAAGTAATTTGAATTGCCCAACACATTGAACGTCGACCTTCTATAGGCAAACTGCAGTCTCGGGTCAATCCCGGGACAGCGCCTACCCCAGGATCGCATTCGTTCTCACCCGAAGGCCATCGCCAGTCCTTTACGAAGACGGCCGGTCGACGCCCTAAGTTGAAGCGGTCGCCGAGCTTTCTCGCGTGGCTGCATGTCCCGTATCGCCGGCCCTTCGTTCGAGGGGCGGGTCTAGATCGGTCGGTCCGTTTTTGAAATCAGAGGCGGCGACGACTTGCGATCACGGCGGGCCAGGTGGCCCACAAGACACATTCGACCTGAATTCAGACGCAAGCACACGCTGAATTTAAGCATATTTATTAAGCGGAGGGAAGAAAATAACAGGGATTCACTGATTAACGGCGAGTGAACCGAGAAAAGTCCGACGTCGAATCTGCGCGCTTTTTGAGCGCGCCGAGTGGCACGGAAGCCCAGTGCGGCTGACTGCGAGCGGCGGTGTCTTTCTGATGAAGGCCTCGTCCCACGGCGGGTGTTAGGCCTAATAGAGGTGATTGTCGCGGCAGCTTCCTGTCTTCTCGGAGTCGGGTGGTTTGGGAATGCAGCCTAAAGCCGGTTGGAAAACTCCACTAGCCGACAAGTACCGTGAGGGAAAGTTGAAAAGCACTTTGAAGAGAGAGTTCAAGAGTATGTGAAACCGTTGAGTGGTAAACGTCGCGAGGGCGCACCGTCTCCGTTCGCGGACGCTTAAGTCGCGGGAAAGTTTCACAGCGCGGGCGGTGAGGCCCGGCGGCGGGTCGTGGAAAGGATGCTGGGCACACGCTATGTTCGGCGGGATGACGCTTCGGTGGCGCGCCGTCGACACGCCAGGGATCCGTGGCCGCGTCAGCCACCCTCCAGAGCCGTCTTCAAACACGGACTGAGGAATCTAACATGAGCGCCAGTCTTCGAGTGGTTTGAAGCTCGCAGGAGAAATCCCGACCCGGATCCCCGTGCAGACGTCGGCGCACGACTGGCCGATGGTACTCCCGTAGTATGTGTACCAGGTTAGGGTTAGACCCTAATTTTATTTCTATCACGAGTTCGGGGACTGTTTATGTTAGCCAAGTGAATATATCCCTTGACCCTAGGCCTCCGTCCATTTACACAGCTTCATGTGAAGTAGGCAAACAAAATTAGTTACCGCAAGGACGGTCGCGCAAGAGCGTTCATGTTGGGACTCGAACTATGCATGGGAAGGCGTTGCTCGCGTTCGCCCCCGAACGAAAGGGAATCTGGTTGAAGAGATTCTGGTCTCCAAAGTGAACAGCCTCTGGCCGACGGCACAATGTAGGCAAGAGACGTCGGTAAATCAGATCCGTAACTTCGGAAAAAGGATCGGCTTTAAGGGCTGGGTCGGTCAGGCTGAGGTACACATCGGATCGCAGCTCGCTTCGGCGGCGTCGAACAGCCAACTTAGAAACTGTTACGGACCAGGGGAATCCGACTATTCATTAAAACGAAGAATCGCGATGGCGCAACCCGGTGTTGAAGCGGTGTGATTTCTGTCCAGTGCTCTGAATGTCAAAGTGAGGAAATTCAACCAAGCGCGGGTAAACGACGGGAGTAACTGCAACTTTCCTAATGTTGTCATACACCTCGTCATCTAATTAGTGTCACCAATGAATGGATTAACGAGATTCCATCTGTCCCTGACTGCTATCCGGCTAAACCACAGCCAAGGGAACGGACTTGGCGCAAGGGAACGCGCAATTGGCGAGGAAAGGAGACTCAATTGAGCTTGACTCTATTCCAACTTTCTGAAGAGAAATGAGAGACGTATGTCTACGCAGATTCAGACATTTGGTTCATGTGCTTGGCTGATAAGCCTATAGTGCAAAGCTATCATCTGGGGGATTATGACTGAATGCCTCTGAAATCAGATTCCCGCGTAAGTCGCGACGATAATCTGGCGCCGACGAAACCGAGTGTTTTGATACTTTGGCGCGGTTTCGAAACTCGCCCCGCCCCATGCCTCTGCCTCGCCAACAGCGTCATCAGGGTTCAGAATTTTTTTGTTTCACGCGTGCGTGCAAGGTCGACTTCGCACGTTTCATTTAAACTAGGGCTAACGATAATCGCGTTTCAGTTGGCCCGTCCCACCGCCACTCATTCGCGGCAAAACCCAGGTGTCATTTCGCAATGCGAAAAGGGAGCGCCCGCTCCGCCCGTTCACGTGCCTTTGTCTCAATTGGCTCGCCTCGACTGGTTTCTCGCCGAGTTTTTTGACGCGTGATTTGCGATCAGCTTTGTGAGTGTCAACTGGTGAGGGATTGAAATAATTCATTCCATCGTGATTTCAACGAAAACTAATATAACCCAAGGTAAGGACGTATAGACAAAATATGTTGGGAGACGACAAAAACTAACCTAACCCAACGTAAGGCGTAAGGGCGAAATTGGTACGGAGACGACCATAACTAACCTAATTCCAAGGCAAGGCCGTAAGGGCAGAATAGTTTCGGATTCGTCCAAAACTAAACTAATCCAAGGCACTATTATACAGACTAATTATTGATTGCTGTGTATGCTTGGCTAACTGAATAACATCCGAATTGATTTAGCTGCTTTCAAATCCTAGATTGCCGTTTTCAATAAATAACTAACCTGGGCCTCGGTTTTCATGTTCTAACAAACCATACTACCAACCAAATGGCCAAGCACGACGACGAAGTTGTCGAAGTCGATGATGGATGTTATCGAGATATATTTTTTAAGACAGTCGTGAAATACTCTATATAAAGATATCGCGGCTATACGATTATCAGAAAAGGTTAAAAATCTCTTCATGACAAGTTTTAAATGTCCTCAACAACAAAAATAAAGAGATTTGGCTTATTATGTCTCCTCGCTTAAAGGCGTGTTTTCAACGTCATTGGCCAACTTTGCTGTTCCATCAGTTGGCGCTATTCTTTCACTAGTATGAGAACGAACAGGTACGCCAAAACGGAAAAACTTCCTAACTTCTTCAGGCAACAACTTATTGTCGATGAAAGGAACGAAGAGATCAGCGTTGGCATTTGAAAGAGAACTGAAACCTGTCACATCAAATTTATCATCACGACAAAAAATGGGTTTTGTTAACATTAAAGTATTGCATATTTAGTTTATTCTTTACATACCAGTAAAAATTGATATTATGTGAGCACCAGTTATTGATGTGATGAATCCTAGGACTCCGTACATGAAGGGCGAAATTGCATATAGTGTGTCGTGTATCGTAAATCTATAACAATAATATTTTGAAGTAACAACGAAAATATATTTAATAATTGGCATATATTCACATGATTTCATATCAAACAAATAAATCTTTGCTTGTCAAATAGGGATCTTGCTTGTTAAATAGGTTTTAGCTTCTGACTAAATTTGCTTTTCAATAAAATAGACATGTTCATGGTCTCACATATACATATCTTTGAAACCTTTATTTTTCGAATTATGTTTCAATTTTATCATTTCCAATTATGTACTTGCTAAAACGTTTTCACGTTTTACATTTTTATCCTGATAACCTACCTTTAGCAAATTAAATAAAGGAAATTGTATGAATATCTCTCAGTGATAAAACTCTGTTATCATACCTTGGAAACATAATACTCAGTTTTACAACCACGTAAGTATTTCACAATGACTCACATACATTATCAAATCAAAAAAATATCAGAATTAAAATCTATATCTGATATAATGAATAAGTCAAATTTAAACTTGACTTATTGAAAAAGAAAAAACTGACAAACCCGTCAGAATGATCAACAGCCGTAGGTTTTGCTGTAACATTGAAATGTGCAAATACTACATTTAAAGTAGTAAGGGTCGTTCTTTCTATTGTAGAGTTAGGCGGCATTGTACAATTATCTGTCGTCAATGCCAACTCCGCAGAATTATTACTTGGATTCAAAATTGCAGATATTCCAACCCAACATGTACAAGCAAATCCGAACAAAAATCCAGCCATCGCGCCCTGGAGTAAAATGGGCAAAATAAATCAAGAGTAATATATGTTATGGCTATCCAAATCAAACCAACTACTTAATCATTCGATAGTGCAAAGCAAATCTCAAAATATGTATTTAATATCAATTATATATATAACAATGTAAGAACATACACAAACTACCTTATGATCAATCCATGGCATAAAAATGCCGAGAGTAAAAACTCCTAAGACCGGTCCGCCAATAAATCCAGCAATGGAATTCCCAAATTGTACAATATTCGACGAAGTAAGTGATATAGCAAAAGAAAGAAGCATCACTATTAGTCCAAAACCGAGCGCTGAAACGTTGAGAATTGATATATCATCCGTTTGAATGAAAGTTCCAATAGAACACATAAGAAAAATTCATTATTGTTATCGTTATTTTTACATTACAGTAAGGTGTAAACTGTAAACCATCTCTTCGATATCCATTCGTCCAAATGGTGATGTCGTTCCACTCAATTAGGAAAAATATGACTTTTGAAAATTTATTTTATGTTCATGTTTATTTCATATAGCATTACACAGGAGCCTTACAATGTAGAAATTCACTTACTGAAAAATTTGCTGAAAAATATCTTTCTTTTGGCGCTTAGATTTGGAAATAAAGGCAATACGAAATCCATCATTGCTAAAGCTGCCAGTGAATTGATGCCTGACGAAACTGTACTGTAAATTCGTTATATAACTGCAATGGGATTACTGGACCAAATAGACGGTATTACTTAATCACATCAGTTGTGCGGCAATTTATGTCCTCATCAATCAATAATTTTATGAATGTTTTAGTATTAAAAAGTTACTGACACAGCATATCACCGCCTAGCACAATTTTACAATATGGTTGTAAGTTTAAATATTTAAAAATATTACTCGTTGTCATAACATAATAAATATTACCTCAAAGTTCCACAAAAGGCCGCTGAAACAAATAGTCCAGCCATACCAGGAATGTTGTAAAATATTTCAACAGCAAAAAGAGGCATCGTTTGATCGATTTTTGAAATTTTTTCGGACATCAAAGGATCACATCCTTCGTAATGAGCGTACATCACCAAACCATTTCCCACAGACACGAGAAAAAAAATTACTATAGGAATCCCACTTAGACCGACTGCCCTGAAAAAAAAAACATCTCCGTGTGATATATTTTATAGTGGCGTGCAGCAAAATTGTTGCATTGTTTTCATTACAACTTCACTGGCTTCAACAGTTAAAATATCGTATACGAGCGTTAACCGGCAGACTCAAATGTGACAAAAATACTCCAAACAGGAAGTTTCATTTTTGTTTTTAGGGAATGTATTCATTCATGGGATATACCTAGTATCTACGACCCCATTCTTTTAAGAGATGGGTTGACGTCATGTCATGTCCGAAATAATAAGCACCCGCATACTAAAAGACGAACTTTAATTCACATTAGCAAAGTAAAGTAATATCTGATTTTCAACCTGGGAAATAGATAACTATGAAAAAACAAAATTACCTTTAATCTAATAACTCAAAAATATATATAAAAAAATGCACTGATGTGTAAAGGTACCCGAGACCGTGCCTAATTGTTATAGTCAAAAAAATACATTTTTGCCTCTTTTACTGTTCCGCATGCCAACCAACGTTGAATGAATATTTGATTGCTAACGATTCTCTGGCAAGTGATAAAACCTACGCCAAACACAATTGTCCAAAAAGACCCGCGAATTCTTGGATCTGGATCAAATCTTCAATGCAGAAAAAAGATGTGTAAAATTTGGATTGGTTAAAAACAAAATAAGAAGACTCGAACCATACATTAGGAATCTCTTCGGAGGTTATAGTCAATATCTTTTCTATTGAAAATGAAAAACCTTAAAACTTTCGTGATGGTATGTATATTTGACTCGGTAGGTATTAAATTAACATTCTGAAAATAACGTCGTCCTGTTATGCAGGTGGGTCGTGCAGTGCTGCTATCGCATTTGCTCATTACGTGTGTTTACATAAAAGATTAGTGTTAACACAGTTATCTTCAAGGTGCCCAGATAATAAAATGTTACAGTATTTAAATCCAAACCAGACGAATCAGTAAAATTACAGAGCTTCAATGTGCGAATATTCTATTGGTCCGAATCTCCTCAAAGCTATATAAGCTCATAATTACACCAGATTGGGAAAAAGTTATAGAATAGGAAGTTGCGACAGATATTCATATCAATTGACAAAATAAATAATTCGTAGATTAATTATAATTCAATGCGACAACAGGTTCTTAGGTCAGAAAATCCAGGGAGTTTTAGATGTATCAAAATATTATAAAACATTTATTTAAACAGTATGCAGTCAATTATGAAATATTCACTAACACTAGAGAATTATTTCTTCCGCCACGTTCCATGGCTGATATAATTTCATTGAAGCCACCAACTACAATAATTCCTTTTATAAGAACAGCCAACATTCCCACTATCATGATTACTGATTGGAAGACATCCGTCCATATAACAGCCTTCATTCCTCCCTGGTGAGTGAAAAACAAGCAATTAAACGAAAAATTAAGTATCACACGATGGTATCACTCTCATCATTTTGACGCTGAACCATTCTTCGTTTAACAATCCTAAAAAATCAGATCACGGAACCCTTGTGAAAAATGATTTTCCATTCAGCCAGGTTTAAATAATGTACAGGGTGTCTCTAAAGTAAGTATACACTTTTATTTTTGATTTGGTTTTCAGGTACTCATCATAGTGCGTTCATTTCTTCAGAAAACATGGTATGGAATAGTAGTAAAATTTAGGTATTGTTTGCATTTTTCATCAACCCACAGAATGACAAGGAGATTAACCCCAGAAATGAGGTGCAAACTTGCTGTTTGGCAAGAAGCATATAAATCAGTAAGGAAAACTTGGCGCCTCGTTAACAGAAAATTTGGAATTAATTCGACTCCTACAAGACGAACAAGTTGAATGCATGCAATTCATCATGAATTTATGGAAACTGGATCTGTAGTTGAAGCACAAAGAATACCAGGGAGCAGACGGTCTGAGGAAAACATTCCGAGCCGAATTAATTAATTAAATTAATTTAATTAAATAAAAACCTAAATTTTACTACTTATTCATACTATGTTTTCTGAAGAAGTGACCGCCTCATAACTAAATATTTATACATTTTTATTTTATTCCTAATATGAATAATGAACCTCAATCAATTGTATATAACACAAAATACTCACAACCGCTGTGTAAAACGTGCAAGTAGCGCTTGTAATAGCGATAGTAGTTTGCAGGCTAAGTGGTGTCACTGCACTCAACGCAAGAGATGGTACATATACAGTGATTCCAAGGTAAAAAATCTAAAATAAAACATTGTTATTGTTCTTTCACTGAACAACTGAATATGGAGTTTAAATAGTATTCATATTGTGCCATCTTATACCTCGAAAATAGCAATGGACCATTTATAAGATATTTTCTTTCTTCTTTGAATTTGTACATTTAAAACCTGTTTCATTCAAAATTAGATTAACTTATTTCATGCCATCGACGATAAGAAGCTGCTGCTTTAAGTCGATACTAACAATACTAGTCTTTCGACACTTATAACGTATATATGATGTATATAACAATTTGTATCACTCATGCTGATATCATCAAAAGTTCAAATGAATCCTACCGCATTGGTAATTTCAAGAAAAGAAGTTACAATCCGTATTCTCCGATGAAACCTGAGCTCCAAATACTAAAAAATATTACAATAACATAACGATTATAATAATATGCGTGTTTAAAAAGTAAACAAAAGCAGTAAAACTGAAATTCGACTAAACGAGATTCACCTCAAATACGCTGTTCAAACGTAGACGATGAAATACTGGGATATAGTACATCATTGCAATTCCATTGGAAGCTAGAACGACTACAACCCACCAAGTAAATGCCGTACCAAACAAATAAATTTCACTAGGAATTCCAATTACTGTAATGGCAGAGATAAATGATACTGCAATCGAAGTTGCTACTGGAAACTAAAATTAAAATTGTTTCATTATATTCAAGAGATATTAGTTTTATGTGCACGTGTATTTCAACAAATTCCTATAGTTATATATATAGTAATATATAGTATGCAGGAAAATTCATACTACCGTAATGATAATGTACCACAATAATGCACAATGAAACAATATTATCGATATACTGTTGATATGAAAGATACAACTAAATCCAATGTATGTTTCTATTGTTATGTTATTCCAAGCATGACTTTAATGCCTAATCCGTGCTATTTATGTGTATACAAATGATTACGAAGTATTCATAGTGCATTATTTACAGTTTGAATCGAAAATTTGCTCGTTCCATTAAATCACTATCGCACTTTTAAACTATCGTAACTTTAGGAGGTATGAAAAAAACAAAAAAAAATATGAGGTATATCAAATTTAGCAAGACTTACCCAAATATACACGCGATAAGTGACAATTAAATTTTCAAACTCCGCCGTTTCTACCATTATCAGTTCGTACTTGAAACGCTATAGAAAGACTTATGTCATTTAGTTTTTAGATATTCGAGATGTCATTAAAAAAGAGTCATTACATTTCTAAATGTACAAAATTCCTGAAATATTCCAGTTAGGATATTCCTGACTTTAATTAAAAGTTAAATTACCGGTGAAATTTTCCTCCCTCCAAAGTAATAGTTATCTGTCGACTTGCTTTTTCTATCTCTGTATCCAAACACAGTACCAACAAATGCAGATATAACAAATATACCTGCAAAATAATGTAAAATTATGTATATTACTACACTTTACAATAAATAATGAATAATGTTTTATTGCACGTAAAACTCTCTTCAAAATATGTCCCATTATTACTGATTACCAATCATTGAACTCACCTCCAAAGATCACGAAGTCCAAAATTCGAAAATTATCTTTTATGGATTTCATGACTTTAGCACCGAAGCGCTTCATAAGAACTCAAAACCAGCTTTCAAGGTTTAAACACAGGAAATTTATGCATATATTATTTTCAAAAAGAAATGCAATTATAATGGATTTAACCGCGCCAAAATGAGAAGAAATTTGAGGTTAGGCTGTCTTTATCGTCTCGTTTTCAAACGTTTTGGTATTTTTCCTGATTTAATACAAAGTTGAAAGATTTGACAATTTGTTGCTTTTCATTATCCGGCGTTTTTTCTTTCATTTACGTGGAAAAACTCATCTGAATAGAGAAAGCGTATAAATCTGCGTATCTGCAATATATTATGGATTGTCTGGCTTTCATTATGTGAACTCTGTATAAAATCATAACTGAACATAGTTCAAGCTATATCAAGGTTCTCAATATTTAGAAGAAGATTGACCTCGTTTCCCAAAACTTGGCCTGGCTATTACGTTAAACATATTCTGCATCATTCTGAATTGCTTTTTACATACTGGTGGCCATCTTATCGAGGAAATTCACCACTAAAACAAATCAAACTCAACATACCCTTTATTACAAACAGAAGATTGCGTATTAACTACCAAATTAGCGACAAATTCGTTCAGGTATATTAGCGAGAGAATAATGGCTGCTCAGTAAACGAAAAAAGCCGAAGCCTAGAGAAAATGAATTTTAACCCAACATCAAAGCATCAAACATGACTGACCTGACCTACTTTGATTCCTTCAAATATTTAAACCCGCCTCTCAAGCAACTACTTTATCATGAAAATATCGGGCCATCCGATAAGAAAATATTGAACCGAAAACCAAAGTCGTTCAATTAATATATAAATATATTAACCTCTAATCGGTCCAATGTAGATTTTGCAGCAGGTATTTTTAGATTTTTTCGAGTCGATCTACGGAACAATGCGCATCAACGCACCTGAACGAGTGACGTAATGTTATAAAAACAACTTAACTGTCATACTTTGTCACGAAATATTGGTCAACCGATGATATGCACCAAGAAAGATTGATCTTAATACAAAAGTCATTCAATAAATATAAACAGGTTAATCTCCAATCAGGCCAATGAAGCTTTTACTATGATACGCACTTTTGCCCACAACGTAAAAAAAAAATTTGATTTTGGTGGACGATTATAGTTGATTGTAAACTGTAAAGAATCGCAATCAGTCATACAATACGTAGCTGATCCAATCAAATCCAGTCTATAAAATGATGTGTTCTGCAGATTGAGCAGGTGGCAAAGTACGACAGCATGTCTGACTCATTGACTACGATGCTGAAATATTCTCGGACTCTAGATTTTTTAATCCCTTGCCTAGCATCCGGCTTGTTAATTTTCAAGGGCTCTATGCGTATGAAAGTTTCCGCGAACTAAAACCATTGGCGTTGGGAAAGCTTGCTAGTCCTTGTTCCACGCGTAAATTGATATTTTTATACACGGGACCGGGAAAGATCGAAAAATTCGATTACCTCACCAAAATTTTCAATTATTACAAGATTGTCCATATTCCAAGCCAAAAAGTTCGAAAAATTACAGGATGTCACCACAATTTTTATTGTTATAATAAGTTCTCATATCAGACCCCTTTTCATTAGTAAATTCGTATTTTTGCCCCCGAGACTGGAAAAGCTCAAAAAATCGTTTATCTTACCAACGTTTTCAATTTTTACAAAAGTATTAATATTCGAACCCAAAAGAGTTCGAAAAATCACAGAATGTCACCACAATTTTTTTATTGCAACATGTTGCTATGTTAGACCTCTTTCCACAGGTAAGTTCATATTTTTGCCCAGGTACCGGGATAGAGCCATAAATTCGATTATCTTTCCAAATTTTCAAATTTAACCAAATTGCCAATATTCGAACCCAAAAGAGTTCAAAAAATTGCCGGATGTCACCACAAATTTTCTGTTCCGATAAGTTTTAATATTATTCCTCCATTCATTGGTTAATTCAAATTCTTGCACGGGTTCAGAAAAATTCGAAATAATTTGATGATCCTACCTGAATCGGACCTGGGCATAACAGATACCAAATACAAGTATTTAAGACCGTCATAAGATACTCTCAAATAAGATATCCGGGTATATCTTTTCTGTTACATTGGAACACAAGTGATACTAAATATAATTTCAAAGACAGTCGTGAAATACTCTATATAAAGATATCGCGGCTATACGTTTATCTGGCAAGGTGATAAATCGCTATATGGACTAGTTTTAAATGTTCCAATCAACGAAATTAAAGAGATTTGTCCTATTATGTCTCCTCATGGAAAGGCATATTTTCAACGTCATTGGCCCATTTTGTTGGTGCCAGGTACGCCAAAATGGAAAAACTTCCTAACTTCTCCGGGAAACATCTTATTGTCGATGAAAGGAACGAAGAGATCACTGTTGGCATTTGAAGGAGAACTGAAACCTGTCACATAAAATTTATCATCACGACGAAGTTTGGTTTTCGTTAACATTAATGCATTGCGTATATTTAGTTCATTCTTTACATACCAGTAAAAATTGATATTATGTGAGCACCAGCAAATGATGTGATGATTCCTAGGACTCCGTACATGAAGGGCGAAATTTCCTATAGTGTCTCGTGTATGGCCAATCTATAACAATGATATTTTGAAGTACAACGAAAATATATTCAATAATTGGCATATATTCACATGATTTTACATCAGTCTTTGCTTGTTAAATAAGGATCAAATTGCTTTCCAATAAAATAGACATGTTCATGATGTCACATATACATATCTTTGAAAACTTTATTTTTCGAATTATGTTCCAATTTTATCGTTTCCAATTATGTACTTGCAAAAACGTTTTCGCGTTTTACATTTTCATTCTAATAACTAATCTTCATCGAGTAAAATAAGGAAAATTGTATGAATATCTCTCATTGATTAAACTTGGTTATCATACCTTGGAAACATAATATTCAGTTTTACAACCACGTAAGTATTTCAGAATGACTCACATACAGTATCAAGTCAAAAAAATATCATAATTAAAATTGATATCTGATATAATAAATAAATCAAATTTAAACTAGACGCATTGAAAAAAAAACTGACAAATCCTTCAGAATGATCAACAGTTGTAGGTTTTGCTGTAACATTTAAATGTGCAAATACTACATTTAAAGTAGTAACGGTCGTTATTTCTATTGTAGAGTTAAGCGGCATTGTACAATTATCTATCGTTAATGCTAACTCCGCAGGACTGTTACTTGGATACAAAATTGCAGATATTCCAACCCAACATGTACAAGCGAATCCGAACAAAAATCCAGCTATCGCGCCCTGAAGTAAAATGGGCAAGCTAAATCAAGAGTAATATATGTTATGGTTATCCAAAGCAAACCAACTACATAATCATTCGATAGTGCAAAGCAAATTTCAAAATACGTATTCAATATCAATTATATAACAATGAAAGAACATACACAAACTACTTTATGATCCATTCATGGCATAAAAATACCCAGCGTAAAAACTGCTAAGACCGGTCCGCCCATTAATCCAGCAATGAAATTTCCAAATTGTATAATATTTAACGAAGTAAGTGATATAGCAAAAGAAAGAAGCATCACTACTAGTCCAAAACCGAGCGCTGAAACGTTGAGAATTGATATATCATCCGTTTGTATGAAACTTTAAACAGCACACATACGAAAAATTCTATATTGCAACATTACAGTAATGGAGTAAAGTGCAAACTGTAAACCATCTTCCCATTATCCATTCGTCCAAATGGTGATGTCGTTCTACTACTCAATTTGGAAAAATATTACATTAATTAAAAATATTTTATGGTTCATTCATTCTATCTTGTGTCCAGATCTATTTTATATAGCATTACACAGGAGCATTCCAATGTGGAAATTCACTTATATACTGAATAATTTGCTGAAAAATATCTTGTTTTTGGCGCTTAGATTTGGAAATGAAGGCAATACGAAATCCATCATTGCTAAAGCTGCCAGTGATGCCTGACAAAACTGTACTGTAAATTCGTTATAAATTTGTACTGTATATTTCGTTATATAACTGAAATGGGATTACTGGACTAAATAGACGGTATCACTTAATCACACCAGTTGTGCGTCAATTCATGTCCTCATCAATCACTAATTTATGAATGTTTTAGTATTGAAAAGTTACTGACACAGCATATCACCGCTTAGCACAATTTTACAATATGGTTGTAAGTTTAAATATTTAAAAATATTACTCGTTGTCGTAACATAATGAATATTACCTCGAAGTTCCACAAAAGGCCGCCGAAACAAATAGTCCAGCCATACCAGGAATGTTGTGAAATATTTCAACAGCAAAAAGAGGCATCGTCTGATCGATTTTTGAAATTTTTTCGGACATCAAAGGATCACATCCTTTGTAATGAGCGTACATCACCAAACCATTTCCCACAGACACGAGAAAAAAATTACTATTGGAATCCCACTTAGACCGACTGCCTTGAAAAAAAAACAATCTCCGCACGATATATTTTATAGTGGCTTGCAGCAGAATTTTGGCATTGTTTTCATTACAACGTGGCTTCAATAGGTAAAATATCGTATACGAGCGTCAACTGGCAGAATCAAAAGTGACAGAAATACTCCAAGCAGGAAGTTTCATTTTTGTTGTTAGAGAATGTTTTCATTCTTGGGATATACCTAGTACCTACGACCCCATTCTATTAAGAGATGGGTTGACGTCATGTCATGTCCGAAATCATAAACACCCGCATATGAAAAGACGAACTTTAATTCACATTTGCAGAGTAAAGTAATTTCCGATTTTCAACCTGGGAAATAGATAACTGTGAAAAAACAAAATTGCTTTAAATCTGATAACCCAAAAATATATATAAAAAATGCACTGATGTGTAAAGGGACCCGAGACCGTGCCTAATCATGATAGTCAAATAAAAATACATTTTTGCCTCTTTCACTTTTCCGCATGCCAACCAACGTTGAATGAATATCTGATTGCTAACGATTCTCTGGCAAGTGATAAATCCTACGCCAAACACAATTGTCCAAAAAGACCCGCGAATTCTTGGATCTGGATCAAATCTTCAATGCAGAAA